ATATATATATATGCAAAATGCACATGTGAGATGACTTCTGCAAGTCATTCACTATTAGATCAAAGGTAAACCAATTTTGCTCAATCCTATTTTAAGTGGAAAATAAGTTATTGAAAGAGGGGAGAGTTCAACATAAATGGAGCTTTTGTTGAGCCTCCTAAAGACACCATACAGAGACATTCATTAATCTTTTGTTTAAATGTGTTTCTGCTCATGATGCAGCTGTCAGTTGACATGAAAGTGATTATTCAGAATTTTTAAAGAGGTAAACTTCATCTCATGTGAAGTTTAAATTATTGTAAAGTAAAAGTTTTCATTAGGTTTTTAACTTAAAGACATTAATCTAAGACCAAGTTTGGCCATGGTTCAGTACCAGTCGTGGTCTACGTGACAAAATGTTGCAAAACGTAATGTTTGAAGTTAAAAAAGAGCTAAATAAGCTGTTGCAAATAAAATAAAGACAGTAAAAATCAACTAATGTCATTTGCTTGAATTGAAAATAAGAACCATATTGCATCCCCTTTTTACATCAGATTTGTGATCAGTCAGTAAATATCAGAGAGGATGCAGAACTCCATCTCCTTTGGCATCTCAGGAGGATGTGTTGATCTGACTAAAGCACTGTCAGGGCTGCCATTTACATAACTGAGTCCAACTAGTTGTTATCATTGGGATGTCCTGACTCGCTTCTTCCAGATGCTGAATATAGGGAATGTTATCTGTAATTTTGACCTCATATCTTGTTTGTGGTGATTCCTGTTTGTTGAAGCATAACCAAGCAACAACACTGATGGAGGATGAGAAGCAGAAGTCTGTGCCGCCAAGCCACATAGCAATGCCAAATCTTTGCCACCAGGTTCARCCCCAGGGCTTCTGACCAGCCATTGATCATCTTGACATGTTCTTGGTGGATGGCCACAGGCTTGGTCCAACACAGCCCCCCCACCCCCCTCACCACCCCTGTCAGCCAAAAGGAAAAGATGCGTGTGCAAATTTGCTAGTGTGGGTAATCAGTTGTATATGCATTGTAATTTATTTATTTAACTAATGTTATAGGTGCATATGAATTAGAATTGACATGACTGAGCACYTCTATTGATTATTAAAATTTATTAAAAGTTTAGTGTGATGGAACATAGAGGTCATTAAGATCCTGTGTGCAGCGTCAAGTAAATTTGGATTTGCGTTCACACTGAACGCCTCATCTTTCTCTGGTTTTACATCATGTTTTATTAGTTTTGCAGTCACATTTAAATGTTGTTACAAATAAACAATATTTAATGATACATATTTTCTAGGGGGTCTTATAAATAGTTTGTAAATTAGATTTGAGCCAGCAGAGCAAGCACAGCTACTGGCAGTGAGACAGGAAGTGTGGTCAACGTCACACACTAACAAGGCGTGATCTGCTGCCACACWCATGGCTCTTGCTGGGAGACAGCCGGCCTACCAGAGCCTGCTGACACACAAATATGAAAAGGGCTGACTAATTARTGAGGGGGGTTAGGTCAGGGAGCGGGCTAGAGCTGTCAGTTTTCCAACAATATGGCACATTAAGTAAGACCATATCTCCTGTCTGGAMAAGGCACAGATAAACTGTGACTCTAATGTTTTAAATAAAATAAAAATCACACCACTTTTAAAGATACAAAGAAATGAAATTGTACTCACTCCCAGAACTCCATGACTGGAGAAGTTGCGTTGGGGTTTGTGATGTTGGTGGCATTTTCCCCGTAGTAATCAACACAGTTTTCTGTAAATATAACAAGTTATCTTTTTCAAATAAATCAAGCCAAAATCTACATAAAAGTGTGTTTTTAAGTTTTATTTTGTTTTGAACATGTTTAATTGTTTTTATTGTTTATTGTTTCTTTCTCTTACCTGTATTCCAGTAATGTCCACAGCCGGCCCACGGCAGCTCAGTGGTGAAGCAGTTAAAGAGGTAGAAAATGGCCCAAGCTAAGATTACGATATAGTACACATTTAGGTGAGCTTCGATCACCTGAGTTGCATAGCCAATACCTGCACAGACAAATAATAATAATAATAATAGTTGCATCACATTTGAGCCATCCAGATCTTAATGGCAGAGCCCACGTTTGAGRCTCATGACCGTCGCTCTTCTTACCCTCAAATAATGGGCAGACCTTCCTCCAACAGGTGATACCTCCCTCACTTGTGAACTGACCCAAAGCCGTCTCCAGAAAAAACACGGGGATACCGCAGCACACAAAAAAGATGACATACGGTACAAAGAAAGCACCTTCATGCGCACACAAACACACAAAAACACAACAAAAGTGCATGTGATTACTACACATACCTGACAGTATTCCCATTTTTTACAGATTCACATTAGGAGAGTTATGTACAAACACAATTTAAAAATTCAGATGGCATTACTCATGATAATGTTTCATTAGCACTACATTGTGACCTTTACAGGCATGAGGCAGCACCACACTGTGCAGCCTAATGGGGCCTAATGAGGAAACCTGGCTCTTTAATTGGCGTAGTTACAAACATAGTTAAACAGCTCTCAAAGGTGACAGAAGATTTTATGCTTCAGGTTTAGGCTTGCGTGATCTGATGCTCTTTGTAAATCATCTTGATTGCAAATAATAAGAGAAAATGTTTCCAATAACTAAWCTTTTAAAGGTTTAAATGTGTATTTATTTTCAGAGCTGCAGGGCTAAAAAGCTTGCCTCCTCCATTTTTGTAGCAGAGGTAAGGAAACCTCCAAACGTTGCCCAGTCCGATGATCTCTCCAGCCACAGACAGGATAAACTCAATCTTGTTGTTCCACATGCCCCTCTCATTGTACTCATAGCTGTCCATGCTGGAGCTGGACCCTTCCGGGTCTTTGCCATCCTCTGGTTTACCGTTTACAACGGGCCCACTCTTCTCAGCTGTCATGGCGCCTGGGCAGCCCGCTGAGAGTTGGGGCGAAACAAAGAACAAATGGTAACGTCCAAACTTTCTTTTTTTATTTCTTAAAAATAAAAAGAATATTGCAAATATTCTGAAAATGTGCCCGATTTAGCCATTAGAGCTTATTTTTGTCTGTATAGGGAAATTAATCAATAAAGCCTAAAAATAAACYCAGAAACAACAAAGATACACTTCGAAAATCAGGTAAAAACCAAACACAAAAATCAGAGTTATCTGATAATTCATAAAGGTGAAAATAATTTTAGATTACAACCTTTAAATAGATGTTTAATCTTCACAGAACCATGTATAAAACCCTATTCTTGTCGCTGATTGCTTGTAAATAAAATAAAACATTAATAACTGAAGGAAAATGACTGTCTATCTCACTGCTCTTTTTCTAAACTCAAAACAGAATAAATATAAAATCTTTAAAAATGAAATGACATAACATGAATAAACAACCAAACTTTGCAATTTTTGTTTGTTTTGAGACGTTAAAATGTTACACCTGAGTGTGAAACATAACAGAACATGTTAAGAGAAAACAAACTCTCTGTACTCACCACTTTCCTACAGAACGGTTTGCAAACCTTTTTTGGCTCCTGGGGTGATGTGTTCAATCGTCTGATTGGGGGGTGGGGGTGAAGAGAGTGAAGAGGTCACAAAYGAAGAAGAAGAAGAAGAAAAGAAAACAATCTGCGCCCGCAGATGAATGAAGAGGGGTTTTGTTAGGTCTCACGTCTTTATAAAGGAGGATCCCAGACGTGGCAGAGAGCTCGCACAAGGCGATGGATAACCTGCGACTGCGCTCCCACTCAGCCTGCGCGCTGCTCTCAGGCGCCTCCACTTGGAAACCAGCCGAGTGGAAACCAGTCCAGCTCTCCCAGCAGCGTTACCAGGGCACACGGAGAGCGGGGGGGTCTGCAGGGAGAAAAGTTTACAGCAGCTGGTTTAGAATTGTTTTAAAACACAAAATAACTTCATACAGTAAAAAAAAGGATGATACAGTTTTGAAAAAGAAATCTGGTTTGTCCAATCAGACAATTAATTAATGATAAACAAGCATTTTATAATGAATAGAATAGAATAGAATAGACTAGAATAGAATAGAATGGAATAGAATCACAGTTGGGGAAATTGCCATTGATGCAACAGCAAACAAAAGAGCCAAAATACACATGAAGAAAAGTTGGCGTACTTAAAAAAATCCCAAGCTGTAAAAATAGAAAATGCAAAATAAAAACTGAGCATAAAATAAATTTAAATTTTCGAAGAAGTGTGTGTATAAACACTGTACAACTGTGTATTAATACACAGAGTAATTTGATCACTGTGAGACATGAAGGTGTGAAATTTTCTGACCTGCTGCCATCAGAACACATCCATCCATCCATCCATCCATCCATCCATCCATCCATCCATCCATCCATCCATCCATCCATC